GATGCAGACACCAAAATGAGACGTCTCATCTACATACAAATCTTTTTTTTTTTTTTCACAAAAATTGGCGGCTACAATGTGGACTAAATGTAGTTTGAAGTCTAGCTACATAAGACTACGGTACAAACTGAAGTATTTTGGTGTGTATTAGGTTACCTGTAGCATATCCAACAGGCCTTGTCTGCATCCTTCCTCCATGCCATACTCGTCCACTAGAATGCTGCCTAGGTACAGGAAACAGGAGTGGGGGTACACCTGGTACACACTCACCATCTGAAACACAAATACATCTTTTTGAGATCCACACTGGCTTTTCCATTTCAGTGGACGTGTATTTTTAAGGCACAAAGACAAACCTGAGTAACAAGTGGCTGTAATAAGGACGCAGAGCCTTTGCCTACGCAACGCACTGCAAATCTCAAGCAGCGGCAGCAGCGCTCCACTATCCGGTTATCATTCTGGTGGGCGTTCAACGTCTCCGACAACACCGGCCAGATCTACAACAAAGAACAGAGATGATCAGAAAGAAACATTTACAGACAAAGTACTGCGTCATTCAACACACAGCTAAACATACCTCTTGAATGACTTTCTGGCAGGGGTGTGTCTGTCCATTCTCTACTATAGGGTTTGTATGTCTAATAGAAAAAAGTAACCATTTTAGAACATTTTCTAAAAAACAGCATGGACTGAAACAGCACAACACATTTACCTTCTTTAATGTGACATTTTTCTGAGTGAAAATGAATGTTTAATGGGATATAATGGGGGTGGAATTCCATTTTATCCGCCAGGATTGAACTTGATTGTGAAATATTATTTACACCTGCATTTTTTTATTAATTAATGCTATTTAACGACCTTTTTTCAATAGCATGCTCAACTTTGAGCAATAAATTATGAACGTTAAGACAATATGGTGTAGAATTCAGATGAAATGTTATTTAATGTGTTTTGTTATTTATTCTTAGTAATTTTCACAAATATTTCAAAACTTTCCAGTTTTTCACAACTATAAAACCAATCATTTGCAAGGAGGACAAATTCTACAGCCATTAAAAAAAGGGTGTTTTTTCTAACCACTATGCCAACTTCTATGGCTATTTTCATGGCAAAAACCATAAATAATAAGTAAAATTTTTTTACATAATAATAATAATAAATTATTAAAAACAAAAAACAACAATAATAAAATGACCAAACATAATAAATAAAACAAAAAGAAGAAAATTAATTACCAAACAAAATACAAAATTTCT